ACTAAAGCTGGGCTTCTGGACTCTACTTGGACTCCTACCCTACAGGTCTACAGTTCGAATCTTCCTACAGCCTACAACCTACGGTGACCTACTTACCACTGGCTATCGTGCAGGTCACGGGTTCAACTCCAGGGAACTGTACAGATACTGTACACAGGTAAGCTGAGGTCAAGGGATCGACCCCTGGGATCTGCATCGGCTACTGCCAAAGGTGAAAACTGTTTCAGTTAAGCGTTCAAATAAATCCTATATTTAAGGTAGAGCCCTTTGCCCCAAACCTACCCCTTGACGATGGTTACAACTCTACCCTAGGATAGAATCTGAAGTCCAGCCTGGTCCCTAAGAAAGGGTAAGGGTCAAGCAAGAGTGAGCCAAGGTTCAAGTTAACCCCAGGGTTGAGTTAATGCTCAAATGCCAAGTGAGGGTGTTGAGAACCCTTAGATTGAGGGCTAGAGTCATAGGCCTAAGGTCAGGCCTAAATCTAGACCAAAATTGGGATGGTTCTGACTCGGTGTAAGTAGAACCTGGAATTCATAGGCCTAAGGTCAGGCCTAAATCTAAACCAAGATTGGGATGGTTCTGACTTGGTGTAAGTAGAACCTGGAACCTAAAGGTTAGGACTGTACCCTTAGACAACCTCCGTTCACTTTTCAGATTTCCAAACCCGTTTTTAATACATGTTACTTTAGTATTGTGGTATGTGTTACATACAGGAGTACACTTATTTGCGTACTGCACAGGTTTGTGCATGTGAGTATGCCCATACGTAAAAGAAGGGCCCACATACATGTTTTTTTTTCCCATTCTTTTCTTTTGGGAGGGGGAGGGAGGGAAACGGCTTAGCGGTAAGAGGGAATGCGCAGTATTGGGGGCGTGTACAGGAGCTCCATTTGAAGCCTCCTCACACGTTCCACCTCGCATCACCCAGGTCAGAGCAGAAGGCCCATCCGAATTGAGCGGGGGACTAAATTAGGTCAGGTTATATCTCCATGCCATAAGAAAGTCATCTTTTTTTCTTTTTTTTTTGAAAACCGCTGATCTTTTATTTCAACGACTGGAAACCAGGTCCGGCATCCCTCACAATCATGAAATGCACTGTTACATACTAGTGAATCCTTCACCAAGTATGGGCAGAACCAAAGATCAACCAATATAGGATGAGCATGTATACAGCGGAAGTCTGAGAAATGGACTGACTCACATAGACTGAACTCACCCCAAACATCACTCAACACACAAGCAATCGTGAGATGGTGGGGTCTGAAGCCATACATAGACGATGCTCCAGGCCCCGTACAACCATACACAGATGAATGGTGGGAGGAGAGACGATGGAGTGGGAGATATGGACAGCGCCAGATGTCACCGAAATAGAATCCAGAAGGTCGCCGATATGGTAGCCCAAAATGTCACCGAACAAAGTCAGAATGCCGTGGACATAAGTCACCAATGTCGGAGGTACAGAATCATAATGTGACCAATGTCCGATTGATGATGCCGCCTGATATCAATCCCAACGATCTCCAATGTCTCGAATCCGGTAAGTATCACAGCCTCCTACCACCGAAGTCCAATCACTGATCGCTGTCCAACTCGTATCGAAAGTCTCCAGTCTGAAGAAGTAGACGAAGACGAAGAAGAAGAAGAAGAAGAAGAAGAAGAAGGAGAAGAAGAAGAAGTCTGAAGAAGA